ATATCGGTCCGGCATGACCCCATAAACTGTCCCGATATTGATTTAAACTGTCTTCTACACCGGTCCGACATGACCCCATAAACTGTCTTCTACATCGGTCTGACATGACCCCATAAACTGTCCCGATATTGCCGTAAACTGTCTTCTACAACGGTCCGACATGACCCCATAAACTGTCTTCTACAACGGTCTGACACGACCACACAGTGTCTGCTACAACGGTCCGACATGACCCCGTAAACTGTCTGACACGACCATACCGTGTCTCCTATCCTGTTTTGTTTTTATTTATCAGTTTACTTTCATGTTTTGTTACTCTCTCCAAACTCAAGTTGGTTTGTGTCTAACCTCCTTGAGTTTGAGGGGGGCTGTTAAACCTACTCCACTAAACCTAACCCACTACACCACTACCACCTCCACTTCACCTACTCCTCACCTACTACACACTCACCCTCTCCTATATATAGGAATCATTGTAACCATAACATTATATCAATCAATAATACAATTCTCTATTTCTCTTTATACATTAAATTTCTACAATACATTTACTACAGTGAGTATGACTGTATCAAAGTGCTCGCCTGGTTGAAACTACCAGGTGGACTTTGGTGACATAATTAAAATGAAAAATATATGGAAAAGTAATTGGTGTTAAGTCCCATTAGATGATCTTACAGATGGATAGATCCTATAAAAATTCCTTTAACCCGACTAGTCCTGGTTTTTAAGATGTTATGTTTGCGAGTTGGACTTCCATTTTTAAATTTATATATTTTTTATAATTCTTTTACCCTTACTGTTATGAGTAGGAAAGACAAGCAAGACCGTAGTGTTGGCAATCTTCAATCTGGTAGAGGAAGTGAAGACAGCTATAAAAGGAGTCAAGGATCCAATTCATGCTTTCTTCAGCATTTGCAAATCTCTCGTTGCAGCAAAGTCACTATACTCCATAATCCGAAGTCCATTCTGTGTTTCACCTTAATGTCGTGGACCATATATTTTGATTGTTACTAATTCTTTTGATCGAATCATGTGTTTATGCCAACTTAAATTTTATACTTGAAATTATCATAAGGCAAATCAATTGATAAAAAGAATAAGGAGGTAACCCCATATAGACCCACCTATTGAGTAGTGAAGCAAAATTAGACCAAAAGAAGAGGATGACAGCCATAAGCAATGGAAAATTGAGACAAAATACAAGAGGTTGTAACCACCCTGCTCGAAGAGGAACCACACAGTGGTAGGGTTAAGTCACTAAGTCCCAAGAGCTTAAACTGCTAAGAAATGGGCCCAACAATGTATATCAAGCTATTCAACTAGTAGAAGAAGCAACTAGCAAAATAACCCCTCCATACCATCTACACCACAGTAGCACATCGGCAACGAGAACTTATATGAACTGGGGCTTGAGTTGGGCATAGGTTTTGTCGTTTATGCGAATTTAAATTTTATTCTTGAAATCGTCGTAAAATTGTAGTTGTCATTGGTATGTTGTTGATTTGAGAATTTAGAATGACAAACATGTTATTGTTACTCTATGCAATATATATAATATACAGAAGATTATCCACAAACATGATACATATGCATTATATTGAAAAGTCATAGCGAGCCGTGCAGCTACTTGTACTAAAAACAAGTAAGCATAATTCTTTCAAGACAATAAAATATGTTTAACATGAGGAGCTTCAGTCATTATGCATTGAACAGAAGCAAAAGCCTAAGTAATTGTTGGGTTCAATAGATTTTGATCCCCTTTTTAACTCCTCTTCATGTTTAGAAATGTCTTAATACAACTTCTAAGAGCACTTAATCTTTAAAGAATCTCATGGTTAATAGGATTGAAACTGACATCTCGTACGATGAAGGCAAATATCTTCCCAATTAGACGACTAATCATGTCTGTCATGATTAAAAACTATGGCCATGTTTGCTTGGACAGACTGGATTAGGTTGGATTAGCATTCACATGACTAATAATCTTGGGACTAAAAATCTCTTTGGATTGTGTATCTTATCCTATATTTGGATTGAGTTAGCATTATAAGAAGGGATTAACAAAATATTATCAAATCCGATGTTTGTTTAAGGGGATTGGAATGGATAGAATATGACAGGATATGGGACATCCAATATATTGACCATAATACCTCTATTATGGTCATTTGATAAGTTAGTCCAGACTTACACTTACTATCCCAGTTTATATCACATCCCCTATGTGGAATTGAATAGTCCATCTTATGTGGGATACATATCCGGATTGTTGGTCCGTACTTAAATTTTTTAACCAAACATCAGATTAATAATTTTGTTGGACTATGTCCAATCCTAGGCACATGTACACCCAAACAAACATGGCCTATATGTGTTAAAATCAACTTATATTGTTTTCTTTCGTATATATGAATTGTTTAAAGCATCATCTTAGAAAGAAAAAAAAAAAAACAGCTCCAGGGCAATGGAAAACAGCTCACGTAGAGAATGCACTTACATATATTTCATTAAGAGCATATCTCCTCTCCAGGTTGTCGAGAACTCCAGGTTCATTCAGGTAAGTCAGTTTCGTCATATCGTCGACTCCACCATGGTCCGCATCTGCGTCCCTCGGAAACAACTTGGCAGGAAAAACCAAAACCTACAGAAACAGTATTATCAAAACAAAACTGTCATATTCCAGAACGTACATCATACTATTTCGTTTGGTTCAGTTTCCTTCAACAGAAAAAAAAAAAAAAAAAAGGACTGAGCAAAACAAATATATACAAAATAAAATAAATTAGTTAATTTAAGTTTTATTCACATTTTCAAACACTTTGCTCCTCGCTGTTTTCCTTGGTTTTCTCGGGAAACAAACAGATGAAAATTTAAATAAATAAAAAGGAATAGGAGATCATATATATAGGGTAGGAGGTCACCTTCTTCCCAGAAGCAGTGAGGAGTTGAACTTGTTTGCCTACAAAATCAACGACTTCGGCAGCAACCCAAGCCAAGTCTCTATCTTCGACCCACACCTTGCAGCCCTTTCGATGACTCATCTTTGATTCCAGACCCGAGCAGACAAGCCCTAGAATTTGAAACAGAAGAATTCGAATTTGTGAAAACCCTAGAGAGAGAGTGGTAAGAGAGAAAATAGTAGTAGACTGTCTCTGTCTTGGGGGGGGGGGGGGGGGGGGGGGTTGGGTGTTGGTTTACAATTACAATTTGGGTGAATTCTACTTCCCGCCCTAACCAAATGAAATGAGAGGCAGGCAAAGGCAGCCAGACGAGCAAACAAACAGTCAAAAAATTGGGCGAAACGTAACAGTCTTTTTTTTATTTTATACTGTATATATATTTCGTTTTGTATTCGACACGTCGTCTATGAAGTGTTTGGCAAAAATAACTTTAATTTACTAAAATAATCTACTAAAATAATAACTTTTCAAACCATTGATGTTTTGGGAAGTTAATTTTTTGACTTTTTTTATTTTTTTAAGTGACTTTTATGACTTAAAAAGTTGATTTTTTAACTTTTTCTTTATTTTTATTTTTTTGTAAACATATTAAAATATCAAAAAATTAATTTTTTTAGCTTCTTCCCCAAAAAAAACTCCATGTCTGTATGTGCAGTTATGCACGGTATATATCTTGCTTAACGCCATTGATTGTCGTGTTTAAACACAACCCTTTTCCTAGTAATCAATTTACAGCTTATATTTCTGTAAAATTTAAAAGAGTCCGATCAAATGAAACTGTCAAAACTGAAAATAGTTCATCAATCATTAAATGTAACTGTTGCTAATATTTTCAAATAGAGCAATGGTAGAGGGCCCAAATTTTGTGGCTCAAATGTGGCTCAAATGGCCAAAACGACGTCGTTTTGAGTACAAAACAACATCAAAATGGCCAAAACGACGTCGTTTTGGCCATTTGAGCCACATTTGAGCCACAGAATTAGGGCCCCCAAACATTTTTCTTTCAAATATGTATTCTTTTTTTTTTCCGCCCAAACTTACAAAAAAACTTCATTTTAATAAATTATCAAAACTTTTCAATTTTGTCTGTACTTTCGTAGGTAAGAGCATCTCTAATGGTTGTTATTATAATACCATTGTTATTATTATAATTTGGCAATGAATAGTACTATTTTGTCAAATTATAGTAATAGTACTCCAATGATCACTTGCTATTTTAGCAATTCTCAACCAACTTTCCCTCCAAGTTTGTAAGTACTGTTTGGATATAAGTTTTTTGTGATTTTATTTTTGTTTATTTTTTATCTTTTATGACCTTTTTTTAATTATTTGTAAAAAAATTATATATTTATATTATTCCCGACTAGACAAATATAAAAAAATTAGAAAAATTAGAAAAAAATAAATAAATATTATTCAATTTGAAAAATTAAATAGAAAATTTAAATTTGAAAAATTACTTTGTTTTCTACTATTTCAACTCTGTTTTTTCAACTGAATTTGGAGCCACAAATATGTTCGTATTTGCTGATGTGGCATGTTTGATAATTGTTATTTTACTTACCAAATTTGATAACAGATATGGCATATGACATCTTTCGCAAGTAAAATGGCAAAACATTTGAGACCCACTTTTTATTACTATTACTGTATTATAGCTTTGGCAAGTTTTTTGCGAGCTCTATTGGAGATGCTCTAACATGATAATGAATTGCACTGTATCGTTCAAATTTCTATGCATTTTCTTAGAGCATCTCCAATGGTTGTTGTTATAATACCATTGTTATTGCTATAATTTGGCAATAAATAGTGCTATTTTGTCGAATTATAGCAATGGTGCTCCAATGGTCACTTGCTATTTTGGCAATTCTCAACTAACTTTCCTTCCAAATTTGTAGGTGTTGTTTGGATATATGTTTTTTTGTGATTTTATTTTTGTTTATTTTTTTTATTTTATGACCCTTTTTTAACTAGTTGTAAAAAAAATTATATATTTATATTATTCATGACTAAACAAATATAAAAAATGAAAAAAATTAGAAAAATTAGAAAAAATATATATATATAATTCAATTTGAAAAATTAAATATAAAAATTAAATTTAAAAAATTACTTGGTTTTCTATTGTTTCAATTATGTTTTTTCAACTGAATTTGGAGCCACAAATATGTTCATATTTACTGATGTGACATGCTTGATAATTACTATTTTACTTGCCAAATTTGAGAACAGATATGGCATATGCCATATTTGGCAAGTAAAATAACAAGCCATTAGAGACTCACTTTTTATCACTATTGCTAAATTATAGCTTTGACAAGTGTTTTAAGAGCTCCATTGGAGATGCTCTTAGTTCCATTCACTCTGTTGGATTTAAAAAATAATAAAAATGATAATTATTCACTTTGTTAATTTTTTGAAAACACTTTTCAAAAAATTCAATTTTCTTATTTTTGTATTTTTGTATTTTTACTAATTTTTTTAATTTTTAAACATATGTAACATAAATACACTTAAAAATATAATTTTTGTGAAAAAAATCTTTAAAAAATTCACTAAATTCCCAAAAAAATAAAAAATAAATTCAATATATTTTTCATATTTTTGTGTATTTATTACTTTTTTTAAAAATATTTTTTCACAAATATTTTACTTTTTAAATACATCTAAGTAAGGTGCATCTAAAAATGTAAAAAAAAAATGCTTAAATTTTAAAAAATATTCACTAAAAACAAAAAAAAATGAAAAATCTTTAATTCAATTTTTAAAAAACTTAATTCAAAAAGTTATAATCAAACACAGTAATTGATTTTTTAAAAATAAGAATCAATTTTTTTGGGGGGGGCTATTATAGACATATACATAGATGTGACCACCCATCTTCTCTTGAAAGTAAGCTTCAAAATTGTAAAATAATAACAGTGCTAAATGAAGGGGATATAAGATTAAACGAACAAAAATGGCAGAGGCTTCAAAAATTTTACCAAAAGTTTTACCAAATGTCGGGTTTCACACCATGTGAGATATTTGATAAAATTTTTGATAGAATTTTTTAGATCTTTAGCATTACTCTTAAACGAAGTGGATCAGATATTGGGTTGAAACTACCTCTCAAACCCAGCCAGATGGCCCAGAAAGTTATAGCCCGATCATAAAGGTCGAATTCACCATCTTAAGTGGAACCCAACTAAGAAATTGAGATACGTAAGGCAAGAGCCATGCAAACACATGGGCCAAACCCACTCAAATAGAAAAGCCCACACAAGTCATTTGTCTAAACTCAGCCCATTGAAGAGACCTAATGCCAAAGAGGGCTGAGCTACAGCTTGGTCAAGAATAGGGCTGCAAATGAACAGAGCCGTTCGTGAACAGGTTCAAGCTCAGTTATGTAAAAACTTGTTTGAACTCGGTTCGTTAATATTTTTTTGCGTTCGAGCTCGAGTTCGAGCTCGTTAAATTTTTAATAAACAAGTCTAAACATTCTAAAGTTCGGCTTGTAAGCTCGGTTTAGTTATTTATTAAATAATATAAAAATATGTATAAAAAATAAGAGAAATATGCTATTTATATATTAAAAAAATATAAATGTAAATAATAGTTAACTACAGATAGTACATTTATATAATAGTGGTAGTAGATATTATTATTTTAATAAAATATGGACTTTTTTTATTATGCTTGTATGTATTGTATATATAATTGTATAATTAAAGTTTTAATTATAACTTTAGTTTCACATGCAAGTATGAATTTATAAATCTGTTGGCTCATTAAGGCTTGTGAACAGGCTCGAGCTCGAGTCGAGCCTAAGCCAACTCAACTCGAGCTTAATTCGTTAAATTTTTATTCAACTCAAACTTGAACTCGTTAAAATCTTAATAAACAAGTCCAAGCATACTAAAGCTCGGTTCAACTCGGCTCGTTTGCAACTCTAGTAAAGAACCAAGCAATAGTAAAGATTAGGACACAGGCATGACGTCGTAAGTAAAAGTCACATGACCCTTATTGTGGTCTCTATATTCTGAAATAGTTAGAGAAATAGTATTCAAATTACTAGACATGGTTCAAGCAGCATGTGCAGACATGAATAACCAACTTAAGGACTTGAGTTATGTCAACCACAATCAAGAGGTACACAACACAAGCTCCCTTACCAACAATTTCGTGAGCAAGGCACTATAACTATATAAAGAACTAACCCTACACTTAGGTCTATTTTGAGAAATGGATTAAAAGCTACTTCTTAACTTTTAATCCACTTCCTCTCTCAAAAAAAAAAAAAAAAAAAAAGAGTCAAAAAAATTTAAAAAGTCAACTTTTAACTATTTTCTCAAAACATTCTTTAAAATGGTACATGACATTCCACTTTACAAATATTCTTTCTATAGTTATTCATTTTTTCCTCTCCCATCTCCTAATTTGTGCATCTAAAAGGTTTTCCGATCAACCTTGACCAGACAACTCTCACTGGTTCTTTGATTTTTCATATCTCAACCACTGAATTGTCCATTTCAGTCATAGAGCTCCAATTCATTTCAATAGCGTAAAATCCAATCTCGCACACTAAACAAACAATAACCCATATATAAAATTAGCAAGGCTTCGACACCAAACTATAGTCAAATGATGTATTTCACTACTGACAAAGTGGAGGGGGTGGCATATACGGGACCTGTTGTTGAAAGTTCATAATTATAATCTCATATTAAATGGTAGACAAATCAATATTTCTTTGAGTTCGAGCTCGGTTCGTTAATATTTCTTTGCTTTCGAGCTCGAGTTCGACCTCGTTAAATTTTCAATAAACAAGCCCAAATATTCTAAAGTTCAGCTCGTAAGCTCGGTTCGTTAACTGGCTCATCTAATATTTATTAGTTATATATTAAATAATATAAAAATATGTATAAAAAATAAGAGAAATATGCTATTTATATATTAAAAAATATAAATGTAAATAATAATTAACTATAGATAGTACATTTATATAATAGTGGTAGGAGATATTATTATTTTAATAAAATATGGACTTTTTTTTAGTATGTTTATATATATTATATATATAATTGTATAATTAAAGTATTAATTGTAACTTTAGTTTCACATGCAAGTATGAATTTATAAATTTGTTGGCTCGTTAAGGCTCGTGAACAGGCTCGAGCTCGAGTCGAGCCTAAGCCAACTCAACTCGAGCTTAGTTCGTTAAATTTTTATTCAACTCAAGCT